TGCGCCCAGCACAAGATACATGGGATGCTCAGCACAGATAAGGGAGGATTCCTCTGAGGGAGCACAGGGACAGAGGGAGCTGAGGTAGGCAGGTCCGTAGTCCCGGCTTTGCTGAGCTGACAATGCAGCAGCCCCCTAGGCTGGATGTTTCTCTTTTCTTTGAGAAGTAGGTGGAAGGCCCTTCTTCTGAGAGAGAGGGAACCAGCTGATAGTGTGCAGGAACTCTCTGTCCCCAGTGCGTAAATGTCACTTCTGGCTCAGAGTTGGACTAGTGACTCATCTTTTCCCATCTTACCCCCTCTGCCAGCCCAGCCTGGCAGGCCAGGGCTGGGTGAAGACTCCCAAAAATGCAACAGTGTAAAGCCTTCCTCTCTTTGGCAACGTAGGCTCTGATTGGCCCAAGAGGGTCCAGCCCATGGAGGAGAGATGCTGGGTTTCCTGAGACCACCTCTCCTAGGGAGGAGCTGAACTGAGCTAAGAGCTCCTGCCCCTAGTTATCCAGGGAGTGCTCCTGGCCCCTTCCTGCCCTTGTTTTAATCAGGTTCCTTTCCTCATGGATCAGACATCAGCTTTTTTTTTTTTTTTAAATCAGTCTTTGACTCCCAGAGGGAAATGAATGTATGGTCTTTATAGGAAATGTGGGAAAACATAGATTAAAAGAAAGAAGAGAGATAGCTTTTCTAATGCTGAGTGAGTGCTGAGACTACTTCTCACCTAGGACGCTGGGTTTGGCTGCCCGGTGCACCCTCCTCCAGCTAGTGAGAGCAACAGGCCATTAGACTGGGGTCTGTAGTGATGACAGCTGGCTGGGGCTTCCCACCACCTCAGGTTTCAGGAAGAGTGTTGGGCTGTAATCTTGTCCAATTGACGATGTTGCTAAATTTAATTTTGGCATCTGCGTCACTGGTGACCACATAGTAGCATCTGCCCAGGCAGTGCCCTGGCTGGGGGCGTTTCTGAACGACGCTTTGAGAGACTCACTTTCCACAAGAGGAGGCAATGTGGAGGGGAAAGGAGAGAGCACAGCAGAAAGTGAGGTTGTAAGTAGAAAATTGTTTCTGGGATTTCAAATGGCTTCGTCATGGGGCCCTCCGTTGCTGCTGAGAAATCAGTTGATCTGGGAAAGTTTGTTGCAGATCATTTATTCTGTTGCTTTTGGGTGGAGCCAAATGGAGATAATGAGACTTTATGACTTTTATTTTTCAGAGTGGAAGTGGGCAGTGTGTGTGGGAGGGGTGATTGTGGATATACTCAGCAGCTCTGACACCAGCGTGGAAGTCTGGAAAGACTGGGTAACAGCTGGCCAGCTGTTTTATGCCAGGCCGCCCTCTCTGTAACATGGTAGGCCTGACTCTCTCCCTCCAGGGCTTCCTAGAAGGGAGTCAGCCCAAGGGAGGAAAGGTTTTTGAGTTTGCTCAGACTGACCAACCAAGATAATATGCCGATGCCACTTTCCAGGTGATCATAACCAAAAGTGATAAGCTCTTAGACCCAATAAAGCCCAACTTCCAAGCTGCTTGGCCATGAGGAAATAAGATGCAGGCTCTTGTCCTCCTGGGCCCAGCTGCTGCTTGTCCAGAGCAGTTCAGAAGGTCGGCCTAGGAGAAACCCCTGATGTAACCTGGGTTGTTTTCTGACTTCTCATCTGAGCAGCAGACAGAAGTGTTTGGTGCCGAGCTCACCGGAAACTCTCATGTGTGTCTCACTTCTCACTTGAGCCCCAGTCCCTCTTCCAGTGAAACGTCCCAGGCCTGGGGTTCCCAGAGTGCCAGGGGGCTCCCCATCCTGGGCCCCATGACCAGCATCTCCCTCCCACTCAGTGAGCGCTATCTCTTCCTAAATCTCCTCTTGTGCATTGCTCAGGGTTTACCTTATGCATGAAAGAAATGAGACCACACAGTTAGAGAAAATTCCAGCTAACACTTACCTCCTGGGTCAGTCCCCAGGTAGTGCTGACCCTAGCCAACAGTAACTGGCACATACATTATTTCCTCTTCTTTTTCTTTGTCTTTCCTGGCTGGGCCTACCTGCCTGATGTTACCAGCAGTGACTTGTTCTGTGATTCTGTGAGGTGTCCCTCATCCTTGGAAGGTCCCTAGTCCCCTCTGGCTCAATGCACACTACCATGACAATAGTTCCGCTGCCTGGAACAGTCCCAGAGGCACAGGCCAGAGCTGCGGTGGCTGAGGATGTGGCTCCCTGGGGACCTCTAGTGGTGGTGCTTGGGCAGCCCTGTAGGCACTGTGTGCCCAGTCACAGGGCCCTTCCAAAAGTTTGGTTTGGAATACTTCCTTGGAGGTCCTAAGTGACCTTGTCTCTCCAATGCTTTAGTTCTAGTTTTTGTTCTTGGTTTTTTTTTCCTTCCATTTAGTTCTGCCACATGGAATTCCACTCAAACATGTCATAATCTTGTTTACTGGAGAGGACAGTGAGTCAAAGGTGATGCTACCTGGGGATGAATTGTTCCTCGAATTTCTGGGTGGGAAGGGATGTGGGAGAGCTACCTCACATATTCACCCTGGACTCCGCTGCCCTTCCAAAGTGTACTATCCTCCTCTTAACCCTCCTTTATGTAAGACTTCTTTGTGGTGCTCGACCGTGGGTGAATTGGTGTCCCGGTAACACAGGCTTAGAAGGCAGGGGAATTGCAGGTGGGACACAATATGTTCTCAGGCCCCTATGGGTCACAGGGACAGTTCGGTTCCTACTCTGGATAACCCAAGGGATACGCAGCTCTGGTACCTGCTCCTGAATTTTCCTGCTCCAGGCTGAGCCTCCCCAGCTCCCTGTGCTGTCTGTCATGGCTTCTTCCCTCACCTCTACTTGGGTACAAGTGAGAGACCCACTCAATTTTTATTTTATTTTTTTATGTTTGCATAGAGCTGGGGTATAGGCCATAGATGCAGGGGTTGAGAGGATTCACCAGACACGGAGTGGGGAGCAGAACATGCGGATCTATTTAGCAGTGAAACACACTGCTGAGGGGAGCAGTGGGCAAGCCAGGAGAGGTTTGCTACACCATATGTGGGTTAGCTCCTTGGCTGGGGATGGAACTCAGGCCATAGCAGTGATAGTGCTGAGACTTAACCCCTAGGCCACCAGGAAGGCCCACCACTCAATTTTGAGAGCAGTTCCTGGAGAAGTTGTCATGGCTGTTGCTCCTTGGACAGCTCCTGTCATGGCCTCTGTTAGCCCAAACGATGTACAATGTGAGTTCTCACTGCTCCAGGGTTACTAGCTCCTCTGACTTGTAGCATCGCTATAGGTGTTCCCACCAGGTTCTAGGCTCCCCAGGGAGCAAACCCTCCTGTTTGTTCCTGATTTCTGTTTGAGACTGATTTCTGAGTCCTACCACTTTGCAAGGCGTTCTGTACTTCTGGGCAGCCCTCTGCTCCAGATACCTCTCAGACATTCACAGTGGAAACCACTGCTGACAGACTTGACCACTGACCACGACTTGCTGCTTCCAGCACTCTGGGTGCTGGCCTGGGCTCAGGGGCAGTCTGGCGAGGGACCTGAGACCTTGCTCCCTCACTCTAGTCCCTTCACAGTCTAGGAGCCACCAGTCAATTGGTGAGCCTTTGTTCACAGAGGTAGTGACTCTGGAGTCTCCAATGATGAGAGCCCTCCAGAAATTGAATGGGCTGTCGATAAAATGTAGGGAACTCCCAGTTTAGAGAGGTGCCAAACAGGTTGGTGACAATACTATAAAAGTCATGCATCAGCCAGATGATAAGTGTTTGGACCTTGGAGTCACAGTGAGTTTTGGGTTCAAATCCTGGCAATGCTCCTTACCAGCTGTGTGACCTGAACAAGACACCTATCCTCTCTGCCTCAGCAGTTTTGAGGGAGTACCAGAGGATGTGTGGGTGGTACCAGACAGGCTGGCCACTTCGAGAGCTGTGATTGTGAGGTGACTTTGAGATATCTGCCTGCTCCAGATGTCCTCCTGGAACCCTGACATCCGTGCCCAAGCTTCCTCCCCCTCCTTGTGGGCAGTTGTTGGAGGAACTTCCTCCAGATCAGGTCCCCACCCTAGGAGTTTGCTTACTTTCTTTCAGCTCAGTTATTGTCCCTCATTGCCCCTCCACACCATCCCAGGACCCCTCCACCAACTGGTCTGCCTTCTGAAGAACTCCTTAGAGTCCTAAGAACACAGGCCAGTGTCCCCAAAGACCAAAGTGAAAGACAAACATATCAGGTCTCTTTTGTCACTATCTTTATTTCAGGCTTCCAATTGACACAGTCAGTGACCCCCTCCCCTCCCCCCTACACACCATAGGCAGTGTTCTAGGCTACTCTTTTATATATTATTAACTCTTTGATAACATATTTTAATATTTAACTTTAAATACAAGGAAAAACAATAAATTACTCCTTGGTTAAGGGGTGATTGCTGACTGACAGACAGGAGTGACTATTCTGGTCGTTTTGCTGTCCCCAGCCTTGGATGAGGCCCAGCAGTCCAGTGAGGTAGCAGAAATTTGCATACAGTACTTAATCCCAGGGACTTCTACCGCCCACTATTTTAGTGCTGGAGCCCCAAGTCTCTGGGCCTGTAACTCCAAGTCTTGCCAGCAACAGTCCCTCCCTAGTCCTACTACAGACAAACACACTTGTTTAAATAACACACAGTAATAAATAAGGCTAGGAAGAAATGTGACCAAACTGCTCTTTGCCTTACTTGCTCTTGTGTAAACCAGGCCCCTCTCCTACCACTTCTCTGGCTAGTGTGGCGCCCACTGTGATGCTCGCTTGTTATGGGTAGGGGGAGGCTGTGGGGAGCAATGTTTGCATCCTTCTCACCAAACTTGGAGCCCCAGATAGAGGAGGCCCAGCAGGCTGAGGCCCGGGCACCAGGGCAAAGGGCAGCTGGGGTCAGCTAGGGTGAAGGCATGCAGCACAGGCTAGGGTCTAAGCTAAGGAAATCTTACCCCCCTCCCCATCCCCCCTTCCTACCTCCCCAAGAAATTTCTGACATCTGAAAGAAAATGAATCTACAGTTGAAATAGTCATGGTCTCCCTTTGCAAATAATGCAAGGTTTGTCATGCTTATTTTCGACTGTGTCGGAATAATTTCTTTAAATGGGTTAGCAGGTTCTTTGCAAACTGAATCACTTCAATCTTGGTGTCTCGGACAAGAGTGCTGGAACCCTGCTGCAGAACAAAGAGACCAGATGTTAGTGGGACACCAGCGCAAGATTAACTAGTGCCCGCCAGGGGATTTCCAGGGACTGTCTCATCTAATACAAAAGCCCCCAGGAGGTGGGTACTGTAATTACCCACATTGTACAGGTGGAGGAACTGAAGCTCAGGTAGGAGCTCATAGCCCTCATGCGCAGGTCCTGGAAATCCCACAGACCATGTCCCTGCTGCCACAGTGGACCCACCCCTGGGAGGATGTACACCTCAGATGCTCAGCCATGCTCCACTAGGAGTGCCCAGGGTGAGCTCAGGGCCAGCAGGAGTGGCACAGGGTGGGTGCTGGGGGCAGGGATCCTTACCCTGTCTTTAGGCGGAGGGCAGAACTTGTCCAGCATCCTCCGGGTCCTTCGGATGGCAGTGCAGTTGGAGACATTTTTCAGGGATTCCACGACTGCACAGAATTGCTGGGGAGGGGGAGACCACCACAGGACATCAGGCCCTGCTGGGGTCCCCCAGCCAAATGGCTTGGGTAGCACCTTCAGTGAATTTACTGGAGGAGGGCAGCTGAGGGGTCTGGTGGGAGTCACTGAGAGGTGGGTGGGCTCAGATTATAAGGGGAGAAACGGAAGCTCCTAAAGTTTGTTTGGAGCCCCCAGCCATGTGAGCATCATGTCCCTGGCCCGCAGCCTCACCCACCTCCCTCCCAGCGTCCCAAGTGGTCCTTACCACATCGGCCGTCAGGTTGACGCTCCATACCATGCTGCCATTGCAGAGGGGCACCTGAGGGGGCAAAAAGACAGTGAGCCAAGTACTCATAAGGATCCATGTCTGCCCCCAGCCAGACTCCATGGGGATCAGCCTTGCTGGTGTCTGGTTGTACATGAAATCAGAGCTGAGAGAAAAAGTGGTAAGGGGCAAGTCTTGCATGAAGTTTTCCACAGTCAGGCAGGAAGACTGAAAATACCAGGCTGGTTAATAGGGGGCCTTATAGGGGTTGGGAGGGGCCAGGGCAAGGTCAGGTGAGAGAGGGGGCGATCAAGCCAATCAGACAGGGGGCACTGGGAGTCTGGTGAATAGCCTGCCTTCTGAATCGGGGGACACCGTAGTTCAGGGTGTAAGCACTCTGATCATGGTCAGGACTGGTTTGAATCTGGCTTTTGTCAGTTAACCTCACTGAAGCTTAGCCTGTAAAATGGGGTCATCATACCTGCCTCTTGAGGTGCTTGGCAGCAATGAAATGAGATGTAAGGCATCTTGCCTCAGGCCTGGCACATAATCTGTGCTCAGAAAGTGAGTCAGCACCAGTGGGGAGAGGAGGCGGCTTTACTAATGAACCCGTCCACGAGAATGGGATTAATAACAACGATGCTGTAAATAATGAGCCCGTTATTGCATTCAAATCCATTTGGAAAATGCCAAATGGTTCTAGGACTATGCTTGCCCTTTTTGCTTCCCTCTGTTTAGGAATGGCAGAGTAGGAGCTGGCTTTGGCAGGCAGGGCCAGGCAGGGAGCAGGTGGCCCCTAGGGGACTCTGCCAGATCTCCTAGTGGTCCATCCATAGTGTTGCACCTCCCTGCCTGGCTCCCGTCTTCCTCATGGCCTGGTCCGTCCCCTGGTGTGGGGTGTCTTCATCCCAGGCATCTCAGGAGCAGGCCCAGCCTTTGTGGCTCAGGCCATGACCAGTACTCATGCTTAGAGTCACCTACCCCAGCAGCCTCTGAGCCAGAATGCTGGCCAGCGGGCACTCACCTTAGGGTTCTGGGTGATGTTGCTGAGCTCCATAATGAGTTCCCTCAGTTGGTCCTCCTTGAGCGTCTTGGAGGAAGGCACAGAGCTTGGGGAGGTGAGGCCACCAAGGCAGGTAAGAGCAAGGACCACAGTCAACCAGAGTGCCATGGAGCCCACAGGAGGAGTCAGGAGCAGACAAGTAGATTGACCTCTGCTGAGTGGCTTGTGGCCTTGGCAGCTTGTGGCACTTTTATAAGCCCCAATAGTGACGTTGCACTCTCTTTGTCAGGCAAGATCTAAACCACATCTTACTAATCTTGATTTTTACTTTTTTTGGAAAATCCAGCATTACATAAAGGAGAGTTTGATTTCTTCTGGACTTATTTGAAGGGTCTGAATACTTTCTAAGATTTGGATGGGCTTATTCCAGAGGTAGGCAAGAGAACCTTCAGGGCAGCCTGGCATCAACCTTGTCAGCTAGAGCTCCAGTAGTTTCATGATCTCCTGTCCTTTGACCCCTTTGGGTCACCAGAAGTGCTGGGCAGACTACCGGACGTGGGGATTTGGAGGTTTTATTTTCTCAGTGAGCTGGTCTCTTATATTGCTGAGTGACACTTGCTTTGGATGCAAAATTCATACAGGGTAAAAGAAGGAGAGTGAAGTTTACTTAATTTGGCCTACCCAATTTGGGAAGTAGCATAGAGGTTCAGCTTCCCGGGCTTAAAGATGCAGTCAGATTCAGGGGTTCTTCTGGGACCTTTCCTTTGCAAAGTTGTTTTGATGATAACTCAGCACAGGCAGCCTGAACATTGGGTGACCTATCCAGGCCTTCATTGTGATCTCAGCCAACTCTGTCTGACTATTCTGTTGCTACTGAGACTAATGCCCACCTTTCCCTGGAATCACAGATAACTTTTTGCAGAATGAAGACTGGAGGTTAGCTCCTGGCTCCCCAGTGCTCAGCATACCCAGCAGGGCATGTAGCCATTTTCCTGCTTTCCCCTTCTCTGAAGTCTTCTGCAAACCTGCAAATAGAGGCCACAGCATTTGCCTACAGGGTGCTCTATCAAGCTTTCTCCCCTTGCTCTCCTAAGGCAGTGCCTTCCCCTCCAGGTCCCCCTCTCTGCCTGCCCTGGCCTCCTCTGTTCTCCCTCCAGTGGGGCTCAACCTCTCCAGAAGGGTCTTCCAAGGGATGCTGGTGCTGTGGTTCCCCTGCAGAAGCCTTCCAGCCTTGCTCATCCTCTCTTCCACTGGTAACATGGTTCCCACCATCTCTGTCTGATGTTCACAACCCCCAAACTTCCCAGCCTGATTGCAAGCTTTGCGGCCAGCCCCGGTCCCTCGTGGCACCCTAGTGCCTGGCTTGCTGGCCTCTTGGTGGTGTGACCCCTCCATGGACCTCAGTTTCTTCATCTGTAAAATAGGGCTAAAGGCACTTTCCTTGGGGTCTCTGATGGGGAAAGGAGTGGGAAACCACCGCGAGCTGCACAAATCCTGTTCTAAGATGAGTCAATGCCCCCTGTGCTCCCAAGGCCAGCAAACCTGTGGTGAGCAGTAGGCAGGCACGTCCCTGCCCCTGCGCGTGGGAGAAGCTGCATAGGCCTGGCGGTGGCAGCGATGCCCTGTGGAGATAGGAGCCTTATGTAATGGGAGATGGGCTGATAGCGGCATCTGCTTGGTGGTGGCGGGTGCTGGCGGGAGGGATGAGGGTGCAGACCCGCCTCTCTGCCAAGTTGTGAAGTTCCCGCCCCTTCCCCTGCGCAGCTCTGAGGCCGGGGAGTGGACCGCAGAGGTGGAAGTGATCGCGGCAAAAAGGGCAGGCGCTGGATAAGCTGGCGGTGCAGCTCCCAGAGCGCTGACACCGGCGGCGCGTGGGTGGCGCGCACGCCTTGTGACCTGCATCTGGTCTCTGACTCTAAGATCCAGGGTCCCTGGACCGAGCTGTCAGCCCCTCCTCTACTGCCACCAAGGGACGCCGGGCAGGGTCCTCAGTCCCCAGAGGAGCCCCAGCTGTCTGTGAACCGATGGAGGTTGATTTCAGCAGCGCTCCATTCACACTCGGATAACTGTAATCAACACAAACTACTAAAGGGCTATTCTGGGCACTTAACACACGTGGCCTACAACTGTTTTACAGCTGGTGGCCTGGGCTCCCAAGCTGGGTTTTACAGGTACAAAAGTGCGGGCTCAGGACGGAGGAGGAGCCTCGCCAGGGACCCAGGGCGGGGCAGGTGGCCTCACTGCCTGGTGCTCCCCAGGAGCACAAAGGTTGGGACTGACCTTCCTGGGGACAGCGTAGTCCTGGCAAAAGTTTCTAAAAATGTTTCCAATTTTCTGCAACTTTCGGTCACCATTGGAAAGAAAAGATGCACAGTAGGAGTAAAGGTTAGGCGAGTTGGTTTAGTAATTTAAAGTATCTAACCTGTAAGATTTTTATTTTTATAAAAGTGACATGCATGTGATCTTGAAAAATCAAGTAATTTAAGGAGATTGAATAACGGGTGTTTTGAAAATCAGAAAATCTTTTCTGCACATCTTGTGAGTGAGGCACTGACTGTTCTATTTTATTCCCCACTGTCTTTTAAAGGATGATTGCTTCTTCTGTTTCAGGTCAACAAGACCTCTCTTCCAAGGTCTTGCCATGCAGTCAGTTGTGCTGTGCAGTCCGTTGTTTAACCAACAAAATGAGCTTATTTGGAAACAACAAAAAGGAAATTTGTAAAGTGCAGTCACACTAGAGAGACAAATGGGCGCTTCCCTAGACCCACACCCAGTAACCTCCTCATATAGCCTGTTGAGGGCTCCTGCTTGGGGGGAAGAACATCACTTCCTGTGGGATGTGCAATGTTGGGCATTGTAGTTTGCTGATTGCACATGCTTAGGAACTCTCTTCTAGCCTCCCTACCTCATTTAAATGGGGTTTCTATATATTCATTTTTACCCTCAGGAGCAAAAAGTTAACCTGACTTATTGTCGGTTCTTAAAACACAGGTGTCCTCTCCTGCGATGCAACCCATTGTATGTACAATTGCCATCTGGTTCTATTGGTACCCATCTGTAGGAATTGGAGTTCAGGGAATTTTTTTTTTTTCTAAAACAAAAAAAAAAAAAAGGACTCTATTGGCTCACAAAACCTTTAAAGTCCCAAAGTAGGGCATGTTTTAGGTACAACTGTATCTAGGGCCTCCAGAAAAATGACATCTGAACTTTGTTCTCTTTCTTTTCTGCTAGCCTCTGAGTTTCTCAGATAGAATCTCTCCACAAGGTACAAATCCAGGCTGACGTAGTCTTTAGTTGGTAGGATCTCCATAGGGGGAAGCTTCTTTCTAGTAGGTTCAGCAGAAGTTATGTTGAGGGCCCTCTTTAGCCTGACTTGAGTTAAATGTCCATTCTATTTTTTAAAAAGATTTATTTATGCATACAAGAACTGGGGTACAGGCCAGAGGTGTGTGTTGGGGTGTGTGTGTGTGAGAGGATTCACCAGAGACAGAGTGGGGAACAAAACAAGCAGATTGACTGAAATACACTGCTGAGAGGAGCAGCAGGCGAGACAGGAGAGGTCTGCTGTGCCATGTGGGTAGCTCCCTGGCCAGGGATTGAACTTGGGCTGCAATGGCTGCAGATAGCTTCATAGGTTGCGTCTTAACCTCTTGCACCACCAGGGAGGCCCCATGTCCATTCTTTTTTTTTTTTTTTAAACTATTTTTTTTTTTTTAAAGATTTACTTATTTATTTATGCAAGCATTGGGTACAGTCAGAAGCGCAGGAGGGTGAGAGAATTCACCAGAGCCAGAGCGGGGAACAGAACAGGCAGAGTGATGAAGTACACTGCTGAGGGGAGCAGCGGGCGGCAGGAGAGGTCTGCGCGCCATGTGGGACCCTCACTGGCGGCTGGGGATCGAACCGGTGCTGCAGAGGCTGTGGGCAGCTTCGCAGCCTAGCGCTCAACCGCTGCGCCACCAGGGGAGGCCCCCCATGTCCATTCTTTAATGGCTGTGGCTAGGATGCTGCAGGCCCAAGTCATGTACGCACCTAAGCCACAGCCAGCAGTTTCCCTACACTAAATAAGCGTTCTGTTACCAGAAGATAGGGAAAGAGATGCTGAATAAAAACAACACGCCCATACATTATCCATTGGAAAAGCTGGTAAAGGATATAAACCACAGTAAAACTGTAAATGTCCAACAAAAATGAAAATAACCTCAACCTCACCACCAATCAGGAAAATGAAGAAAACATCTTTTTTTCTTTTTTGTCCACAAGATAAAAATTATCAACTGTAGGGCTCTCCTAGTGGCCTATGGGTTAAATCTCAGTGCTATTACCACTAAGGCCTGAGTTCAATCCCTGGCCAGGGAGCTAACCCACATATGGCACAGCAAATCTCTCCTGTCTTGCTCTCTGCTCCCCTTAGCAGTACATTTCAGTAGATCTGCCTGGTCTGCTCCCCACTCTGTCTCTGGTGAATCCTCTCACTCCCCCACCCCCATCTCTAGCCTACACCCAATTCTTCTGTGCAAAAAAAAAAAAAAAAGAAATCAATTGTAGGTAAGGCTATATGAGGGTTTGAGTACTTTCTGTACAGTTGTTAAAAATATGAACATCTTGGGACAGCTAAAGTTGGTCTGCTGGAGAGAAAACTCTTTAACTCAACAATGCACCATCCTAAACAAATATTCACATAAATGCAGAAAGATATATGCAAAAGATGTCTACTTCAGTGATGTAGTGTGACAACAGATAAGAGAATAATAGTTTCTGTGCTATTGAATTCTAGTTTACCATTAAAGCAATTTAAAGACCTTGAGATGCTTTCAAGACCAAAAAAACCCACATGTATGTGATCCTGTTTATGTAAAAACATCACTTATATGTCTGTGTGTACATACATGCAAATACATGGAAAAGAGACTAGAAGGATATATACTAAAATTTTGACAGTGGAAAGGTCTTAATTTTCTTTATCTGTCTTGTTATTAAGGCATTGCTACTCCTGCTTTTTTTTTGTTAGTATTATAATACATCTTTCTTCCTTCATTTACCTTTATTTTATTTTTCCATTCATTTGCTTTATATTCTGTATATTCTACTTTATCCTACATGTAATATGTCTTGATATTTGAAGTAAGTTTATACAGATGACCGTGAACAAGGGTTTCAACTGTGCAGATCTACTTATATGTGGATTTTTTGGGTAAACAGACAACAGAAATTTATAGTATCAATAAGTACAGTACAGTTCTGTAACTATTTTCTGTATGATTTTCCTAATAACATTTTCTTTTCTCCATTTTAATAAATATTGGTAAGTACAATACAGTCCTATAAATGTTTTCCTTGTGATTTTCCTAATCTTTTCTTTTTCTGTTACATACGGTAAGAACAGTATATAACGCACAGAATACAATATGTAATGCATATACAAAACATGTATTAATTGAGCTGTTAATGTTATTGGCAAAGCTTCCACTCCACAGCAGGCTGTTAGTAGTTAAGTTTTGGGGGACTTATAAGGATTTCCAGCTATGCCAAGGGATCAGCGCTCCTACCTCCCTGTAGTTCAAGAGTCAGTTATAGTTAGGTCTTGTTTCTTGACCGACTCTGACAATCTGTGATAACTGGTACACTTAGGCTGTTCAAAAGAATTGCTGATAACAGTTAAATTACTATCTACCATCAGTGTTACCATTTCACTGACCATCTGTACATCTGTTGCCCTTATTCTTTGGTTTTATTTCTGTTCCACTCCTTTTCTGGATTTTGTGGTTTTAACTGAGCATGTCATATGATTCTGTTTTCTCTCTTTTTAGTATATTTGTTACACTTTACCTTTTTAGTGATTGCCCTAGAGTGGGCAGTATACATTCACAGGGAGCCCCAGCTAGTGTTCAGATAATACTACACTGTTTCATGTGTTGTGTTAGTATCTTGTAACAATAAAATGATTCTAATTTTTCCCTTTCATCCCTTGTGTTACAGTTGTCAGTCATTTCATTTATATGTATATTTATTTGTGTATAATATATACAAAT